GGGGGGGGGGATGCGTGCACGTGTGTGTGTGTGCGCACCATCTCTTTGCTGGCCACAATCACAAAGGTATTATCAGGTCACCTGGGTCTCCTCATGGATTTCCACTTTGTTACAACAGCCAGATGGTCAAAGTTTAACTCGAATATGCTGAAATCCCAGCTATGAGTGACTTGAATCTGTAAACTCCTTCCATTACCCCCTTCCATACTTTGTGACATTGTTTCTTTCCAGGGACCTTTTTGCTATAGTACAGCTCCGAAACATTGTCTCTCCCCTCAGACCGCTCTAAGAGGACCTTGCCTCTCCCAGTCTCATTATATCCATCAGTTATACATGAGGAAGAAACCAGCCTGATAACTGGCCCTCCATTGGGCTTAGAAGGTAAAACATAGGAAATAGTCTCAATATGTGCAGTTCAATGTGCGTTTGAACTTCTCTCTCAGATGACTACAGACAACATAAAACTTCTTGCATTATGGTATTTTAAAATACCTCTTTTATATATATATATATATATAGAGAGAGAGAGAGAGAGAGAGAGAGAGTCAGTTCATATATATGACAATTTTTACTATTATTCTGTGGTAACTACATACAAGAAATTAACTGGTTTGCCAATAAATGACAAAGTAATGTCTCTTCGTACATACATGCCACTTGGACTTCAGATTTTCTTTGCAAGAGTGCTCCCATCCTGTTTCGCACAACACATTGATAAAACCCAGCATCAGACCTCTGCAAGGCTGGGATAAGGTACCTGTGAGACACAAAGAGAAAGGCAGAGTTATGCAATATCCTGTGTTATGGTTGTCAGTGCTACTATCAGTTTCCAAAAGCAAGTCACTCCAAAAGAAAAAGGGGTCCAACTGCTTCTAAATTTTGCATTGTGTTTTCTCATCCTTTAACACTGAACAAGCTGCTTCACCTAAAGCTTGTTCGTCTTTTTCCAATGAACAAGGCTGGATGAAAATTACTTGCACTCTCATTTCATCTATGAGCTCAGGCTCCACGAGATTCTGTACTATATCCACAAATAAAATATTTGAATTACATGCCAAAAAACTTTCAGCAATAAGCTCCAAGTATGATGAGACTAATTAGATTCCACATTTTGCCTGGAAATATTGACTTAAATGTTTCCCTCAACTCAATTTACCTTCATCCATAAGGCAAGAAAAATCTAATATTTTGCCCAGAGGTGATGTAATAAAAAAGAAATCTAAATGTTGGCATTGGGGAGGCTTTCCAGCAAAATTAAAACTCTGCCATGGAAAGCATCATCTACTACACTGTCTGACCATCTTAAGTCATAAGAGTATTAGGAAAGACAAGGTGCATTGTATATTGTATTTTTCTGCCCCTCAGCATACTTTAAAAGTCACTTAGTCTACTAATTGTTCATCTTCTTCATTCAACTATATCCGATTAGTCAACCTGAAAATGAGCTGATAGGCACAGTTTTAATGTGAATAAAACATCTGAGTAATATAGATAATCCTGCATTAAACAAATATTAATCAAAGTACATATTCCCTCCGGTCACCTTCTGGAGATCTTATGGCAGGATTAATGAAACCCTTTATGAAAAGATAAGGGAAAATAATACCACTGAATTTTAATCTTCCATATTTTATTCCACTCGAAGAAAAGGTTCTACACACACATGCACAAATTAATCCGTGAACAGAATCTGATGCTATGAAAATCAGATGGTATGAGCAGGGTGGGAGAAGTCTCATTTATTTAAATGATAAATGAAGAATCAAGCCACCAGTTATGATAACTGTAGCGTAATTACTGCCAAATATACATTAGTGCAGAAGTCAGACAACCTAAGACCAGTGGATTAAAATCAACAAGTGCTGGTGAGAAAATAGAATTCCTTCCTTCCATCGTTACCACCCCCCCCCACCACCCCATGAAGGTGATTAAAACAAAACACCATAAACTACCAAATAATCGACACATCACTTTTATAGTTCGTTTTTCTTTATACTTTACAGTTTTTACACACTTCTTTTATTTCCTTCAAAATGTTGTCCTCTTCTACTTGGCCAATATTAAGATGTTTCTTTGTTTTAAATGGAGCCAAAATTAAACTTCCTGTTTCCTTGGTATTCATCTGCACTAAGCTAGAACTACAGAGGTTCATTTACTGCTAGCCTGATAAAACAGATGCAGTTGATAAGAAGTGTTACTTTGATTTCCCTTTCTCAGACTTATTTATGTTTCACCAGGGAAACTCTCTCAACATGTTTATCTGTCGTCCGGAGAAAGGTTTACCAAAAAGAGGCTACCTACACCGAAACTCCTATGCATCATAAATGCACTGAAGGGATGGCTTCTTGCTTTGAGTCTACTGTCTAGCCATGTACAAGCAAGACAAACAGATAAACATTTTCAGGCATGGCCAACCTACCATAACAGTTTTGCATCCCCATTTGTGAAAACGGTGCAGATATCTGCTCACACTAGGACAGGGGCGGGTAATCATTTAGGGCGGAGGCCACTTACTGAGTTTAGGCAAGCCATCAAGGGCCGCATGACAGGCAGCCAGGGGCAGATAAATATTAATTTTCTAAATATTTTAGGGGCCCCGCAGGCTGGATAGAATAGCCTGGCAGGCCGCATCCGCCCCATGGGGCGCATTTTGCCCACCCCTGCACTAGGAGCAATTGTGCTGTATCAGGGAGCTTGTACAGGTTTTGTAACCTAATGTAGCCAGGCTGTAGCCGTACTGGTCTAGAGGCAAAAGCGCAGTTAAGACCTCATCTACTTTTCAGTTCTATTTATCTACCAAGTATTCCAGAAAGGAACAAAAAACCTAAATGCAACAAGCTATAAAGGAGAGTGTTGGTTTTCTTTGTTTTTGAACGATGCGACTCTCCAGTGCACTGTAAGCACAGTTTAAAGAGACCTAGTAAATCTGCTTTTAAAAGGACAGGATGTATCATTTTCTTTGACAGATCCACTGTTCAAGAAGGTACAAACTTGAAGCGTCTAGAGGAAGAGGTCAGTCTCAGATATCCCTTTCCCATCCCCAATATAGGTTCTAGTCATTAGCACCAAAGAAGGATACTGCAATTTCAACCATGCAACCCAACAGTACTGGCTGAAGTGGTTAATGCAGGACTCCACTTTCAAAAAGATTTAGACAAACTGGAAAATGTTTAAAATATGAACTCAGACACTTTCAGTTTTCAGTAAATGTTATATTTGGCTTGAATGCTGTGTTGACCATAATTATTATTGCTACTTAAATATTTATGAATGCAATAAAATAGTATTACTCCATTTTTCCCAGGCCAATGTGCTTCCTCGGCTCATCTACTTTGTCTGCCTTGCCTTTAGTTTATTCACTATTTGGAACAGGGATTGCCAGTCATTATATGTTGGTATGGCACCCAGCTCCATTGTGCTCAAATTGACTGCAGACTCTCAATGCTTTCACAATACATGCTAGGGTAGATGATAATGAAATTATAATTGTTCCCTATACCGCACAGCAAGAAACTCCTGCTCAAAAGCTTACAGTCAGGATGATGGGCTTGACAAGTAAGTGAAGGAGAGATTAAAGAGGGGGATTACAGAGATGCTTACCCTATCACTCAGTTTAGAAATACACACATCATGCTGGTTCAATATGCTTTTTGTTTGTGAGGCTGTGTTGAACAAACAATCTTTTTGTAGAGAAAGCTGTAGCAGAATGCAACTTGAATGAGGCACAGATGGAGGGTTGAAAAAATGTTTTGCAATGGTGATCGGAGAGAAAGAGGCAGCATGGAAGATGACATAAAGACTTTTACGGAAGAAGATGAAAAGGGGACCAGGTTGGTTCAACTGGTGGTTTGGCAGTGTTTGGGGAGGAGAAAGAGTGCTAAACAGACTGGGGAAGCGATGCTTTCTGCACTTGTGATGTAGGGCCTTAAAAGCAAAAAACCCAAGTTTTTTAAATTTGCTGCAGGACACCTCGAGGAGCCAGTAAAGCAACTCCTGAACGCAGGAAGTAGTGCAGGCCTGCCAAATTCTATTGCTCATATCTTGTTCTACAAAAATAACTGACCAGACTCCTCTGGAAGGATGTCCTGGAAAGGTTTCCAACCATCAGAAATAGGTCTTTTCCTCACACCCTTTCTCTGCTAGAATAAAAAACCCAAAACCAATGCAGACTGGAAGAAGGGAAATGTAGATTCAAATGTTAGTAGCAGTTTGAGACCTTAATAGTAACAGGACAGAAGTCAACTGAACTCCTTCTTTTAGTGTTCCTGAAAACATTCATATATATAAGTATAAATCAGCCTTCAAAGGTGGTCTTCAAATTTAGGTACAAGTCATGGTCATTTGCTCAGAGTCCTATTTTCTTTATTGCCATGTCAGGACCTCATTATAGAAAACCTTCTCAAAGAGAACTGAATACAGACAGCAGTGCCTCAAGCAATAAAGAAACTTCTAGCAGTAGAAATATGTTGGAGTCAGGTGAAGAAAAAGGCAAATGTATGTAATTCACTCTTCTTCATCTCCAAGAAAACTTGGAAGGATAACAGGAAGTTCTACCGGGTAGTGAAAGCATGCCTTATCTAGGTGTTGCCGCACATCCCATTAGTAACCTAGTTTTGCCAATTTACAACATCAATAGTCTTAGAGCATTCCCAACCTGACCCATTGACCATAATAGCCTCTGCCTACTATAACTAGCTCTTCATACAAAACAAAGCCATGTATCTTATCATTCACTCTTGGAGTGTCCCAAAACCTCGGAGAATTAAAAGAAACTCAAATATGTCGTGGTCGTGTTAGCAATTTTGCAGTGGTGATAGTCCAGGAAAAATATGAGAGGCAAGGATTTGGGTGCATGGTATCTTTTATCAGACCACCTGTATAGTTGGGAGGGACAGAGTCAAGATTTTGGGTACCAGGCAACCAGGTCTGAGGCAGGGTGAAGTGGTCCAAGAAAATATATCACGCACAAAAATCCCTGCCTCGCAATAAATGAAAAATATTTTTTATCCAGACACACACAAATAACATACCCATTATCTAGATATCTTGACATTTCAGAAAACAGCAAGTACCTTAACACGAGAGGGGAAAAAAACATCTTGTACTTAAGCATCAACATAAACACCATTTGAATCTAAAAGTTCCATTTAATTGGCAAAGTATGGCAAAGAAATTTAAGACAAGGTGCTCTAAATGGTATAAGCCTTTGTCACACTTACATGCAAATTAATGCAATATAAATTTAAATTTACGGTGAACTAAATGATAAATGCTACTTTTCAATGTCACCACTGACAAGGATTTTGTCTGAATTTTCCTAAACTGCTAACTGCAAAACTAAAATTACTGAAAATAAAGTCCCTGATTCTGCAAAAACTTGGAGAAATTTATATTCATTCTCATGACGAGTCCCATTTACTAAAATGATACTATCTCATATACTTAAGGTTAAGTGTGTGTGTAAGTGTTTGCAGCACCTAGAAGCTACAACTGTTAAATTTCTCTCCTAATGGTATAAAATCCTTGTAGTGTCAAAACAAAATTGCTTCAGTATTAACAGTTAAAATTATTCAGGGCCCTGGCAGATGTTACACTTAAAAAGTGATTAATCAGTTAATCACATCTTAAGTAACCCGGCCAAACATTCATGCAAGTAATGGCACAATAAAACAGGGAATAAGGAAGAAAGTTATTACAGAAAATATGTGTAATAACTAGAATGCCACGCTGGCTGAAAATACAGCACAGACTATCCAT